ACCAGGGGTGGCACTTACCACCCTGGCCAGCCCTCTGGCTCCGCCCCTGGCCATCTTTATAATTAACTGCTGAAAGTATAAAAAGTTTTTAGAGACTATAAGGATGAGACGATTGAGAGGTGGGCTGCTGTTGGGACCTTTTTGAAGCTTCTGAATCCAAAATACTCGCACACAAACTTCATTTAATCTGATGTGACCGTTATTGTCTTTACATACATTGGGGGCTCTAACGTTTCCCACACATCYTTGGATTGATTGGGTCTGATTGAGAGTGCAGAGCTGCGTGTTCAGCACTTCTGTGGATCCCATCCAGAACATGGTGTGACGCAGTCCAGAGGAGATAAACGCCTGAGGAGAGGACGAGCAGCGCAGCCGTGTCATTCTACCAGATAATACACGAAATGTGATAAAAAAGTCAAAGATAACGCGCGGGTGCTGAGTTTGGCAAACTCTTCAGCTGTGCACAACTTCTCTGAGCACGAAAATGTTCGACGTTTAAGTGGATTTTGTTTATTGCAAAGCAAAAAAAAAAAAAGGAACCTTTCGTGAACTGTTCACTCGTGTTGTTTTCCGGTCTCCTCACCTCGCCACAACACATTCCTTTTAATCATCCTTCTGCTGCTTCGCGCCCTCGCCTCCTCACTCCCTCTGGCCTTCAGCTGTTAGTCTGATAATGGTTCTGACGAGTCGCGCTGTGAGAGTCGTCTGCAGCGATGCTCACACGCCCGGGAACTCCCCACGTAATCTGGATTTTTCCTCATCTGCGCACATCCAAAGCAGAGCGCGTTAAAACATCTCCGACTGACGAATCCATACATCCCGAACATCTGCACAAACTAAAACGGTTGCTGCCCGGTTTGATAATCGGTTGTTTAAAAGCCGCTCCGTGCTTCCATTAAGGCAGAAAAGTGGAGAAGATGTGGCTCGTTTGCCTTAAAAAGCTGAGCTGATGGAAATACAATTAAATAACACGAGCTTTTTGTCRTCTGCGTGTTAGCGCTAACAGATTTTCCATTATTTCATCAGATTCACAAATGCTGCACAAAGATTTGYGAGTAAATAAAGCGGAGTCGAAGCGTGAGGAGACTGTGACAAACRGCAAGTGTTGGACTCAGTTTTTAACGTGATAAATAAACACAAACAGCAAATAAAATACAGTTCAACTCAGAAGTCACCTCATCTGTAAATAAGTGTCATTTCATCTCAGAAGAAGAGTGTTGCATTCACTAAATAAAAAATGAAGACTGTTCTCAAAACTATGAGAAAGGTTAAAGAATTATAGCTGATCTGTACTACAGGAAAAGTGAAAAATGACTGCACTGTTGGATTTTATATGCTTTTATTTCCTCTTAGGTATGAAACACTGGGATATATTGAGTTAATGTGCACGGTGTTGTGTCTGCAGGTTTGTTACTAAATGCACCTGCACACCAGTCTGAGGGAGTTCTGTTGAATCAGCTTTGTCTCAAACATCACACAGGTACCCAACTTCCTTAGTCTGCAGTACTTTTGGTGTCTGGATATTTCAAAATAAGAGTCCCAATAAGAGTCGGAACAAAAYATTACAGATGGCGTTAATATTAGTATGTCGACACGGCGCAGTTTTCTTCTTTGTKGTTGTTCAAGTGAAAAGCCCACTCTGTCACGCTGGAACTCACTCTCTTCCTGCAGTACGGGACGCTACGGCTATAAGAAGCTAATGCATCTGAAATGTGTTAAATTACGTCCTGKATGTCAAAAGCACACACTTCCTCCTGTTTCTTTCTCTACAACTTTATTAAACTCTGGTGGATAAMCATTACACAGCTTGTTCTGGGAACACCTGTGTTCGACACACAGRAACACATCCAGCACCAGAGGCTGCTCAAAATCCTCCAACATAAGGATCTCGTAATTATGAGATCTTTTCTCGTAAATATGAGATCAGGATCTCGTAATTATGAGATCTTTTCTCGTAATTATGAGATCTTTTCTTGTAATTATGAGATCTTTTCTCGTAATTATAAGATCTTATCTTGTAATTATGAGATCTTTTCTCGTAATTATAAGATCTTATCTTGTAATTATGAGATCTTTTCTCGTAATTATAAGATCTTATCTTGTAATTATGAGATCTTTTCTCGTAATTATGAAATCAGGGATCTAATTTGGTTTTATTTGTTAACTATGAGATCTTTTCTCGTAATTATGAGATCTTTTCTCGTAAATATGAGATCAGGATCTCGAAATTATTAGGGGTGTAAGAAAATATCGATACACTGAAATATCGCGATATTTCATTTCCCGATACTGTATCGATATTCTAAAGCCCTGTATCGATTTTTAATTAAGGTTTAAAATGTCAACTTTCCTGCCAGCCGTTCATTTTTATGTTGTAGTTCAGCCTCTGACCACTAGTTGGCAGCAGTGAGCCAGCCATTTGGCTCCTCTACCTCTTGAGCGCCACAGAGTAAGGGTAGCATTAGCATTGTAAGTAAACATTAGTTTTTCTTTTTCTTTTCAGTAAGAGGTTTTTATTTAATAAAATTTTTGGACAAAAAAAAATCGCAATACATGGCAATATGTTGCCTTGCTTACAGTATCGCAATATATCGGGATATATCGTATCGTGACCCCTCTGTCATGATATGTATCGTATCGCCAAATTCTTGCCAATACACAGCCCTAATAAATATGGGATCTTTTCTCATAATTATGACATCTCGTAATTAAAACATCTTTCCTATTAATTATATGATCATTTCTCAAAATTATGACATCCTTTCTTGTAATTATGAGATCTTTTCTCATTATTATGAGATCGGGGATCTAATTTGGTTTCATTTGTTGAATGCCATGCTCTTCTGTATATTTCAGTGATCCCAGACAGACAAGCTCACAGAGGGAGGATCAAACACTTTATACTTTTATTCATTTTAAACCAACAAAGTGCTTCACTTTTGTGCTGCAGGTAAAATAAGTCAATTCTTGCTTTTATTTGTTTTCTGGATTACTTAATAGGCATATAGCGCAGGTGAATAAAGTCAGAAATAAAAAAGGTCATATTTCTCTTCTTGGAACACAAACAGAAGTGTTGATCTATCCTTCGCCTCTCTGTTTCTCTTCCTGGACAACCATTTYTTTTCTTCCTGTGTCCATGTTTTACTTTACCCCATCAGCACATTTTTCCTCCCCTTCCACTCTTTAATTCATCGTTTTTGCATCTTTTTTTTGTCCGTCTGTTCTGCGGCGCTCCTTGTCGTAAAGCGAGTCACCTTTTGGGAAGTTGGAGACGTGAAAGGCAGCGGGAGTTTAGACGACGGAGCAATAATCGGATCCTCTCCAGCTGCAGGGGAAACCAACGCTGTTAGAATTACTTTGATCACAGGGATGAGTGCCCGTCGTCCACTGATCCTCCGTGCGAGGACAATGCCTGAATTTTCAAAAATCCCCGCTCCGCTTCCGTTAATGAGCCTGTCAAACATAAACAGCTTCGTAACGAGAACAATGCTTTCGCTTTGATCGTTTAGGGGCTTTAGCGATGGCTCCTGCTTTAATTAATCGCCCACTGCCAAAAAAGAAAAGGTGGAATGATAATGTTTCTGTTCGCCTCTGAAGCTCTCACTGATAAACTTCTGGATTCATCGATTCAAGATGGCCACCAGGGCCGACTGACCTCAGAAACCTCAAAAAATAAAAGTTGGTAAATCAGTGAACGTTGCACACGTTGAGCTAAAATTCGCACACAACGTGGAGCACGGTGTCGTTTTCACGGTTCGACAAAAGTGGCTTGTAATTTCTCAGCACAAAGAGGGTGTCAAACATGAAAGGCGACAAGGTTGAGCCTTTAATTTCCCGTGTTTTTCTACGTGCTGATGTCACCGAAGCGGCACCCGGAGCAGCCCTGATCAATTCACTGTGATGCCTTTCAGCTCGCTCCCTTTTTAATGAGAGCTGCACCAGAAAAGAGGCACCGGCCGGCTGCATTCACAGTCAGGAGCCTCCTCCAGCTCTCTCAAGTCTCTGTGATGTCTGCGCACATGCTCATCCACGTCCATGTGTGTGTGTGTGTGTGTGTGTGTGTGTGTGTGTNGTGTGTGTGTGTGTGTGTGTGTGTGTGTGTGTGTGTGTACGCAGCAGATGCTTCAGCAGAGGGGAGCCAAACATCAGCCATGATTTTCTGCTATTAGCCCCTCATTCGGCCCCCTCTCTTTGCTCACGATGTCAGAAATGGATGATGTTTGTCACCACGGTGCGTCTGTGGGACAAAATGTTTAACAGCTCCGAGCTGGCACAGAAAAATAACACAACACTGATAATAAAAGTACCCTGGGCTAACCTCACACACCAAACACATGATGCGTCTGTCGGTTTAATCAGAACTAGATATACATGTTTGCAAATCTCTCCACTGACTTTCAGTTGAACATTAAATTATTTTAAATCCCTTTTTATTGTTTTTAAAGCCTTAAATGGCTTCCTGCAGTATTGTTCAAATGATCCACTACAGATACAAAGTCAGGAAGATCAGTAAAAATAAAGAATAAAAATATTTATAAGCAGTTTGTGATTTCTTTTGACAATTATCGTACTTGTTCTTTCTTCTTTATTTTATACATTACATATTTTAGCTCAGTATTTATTGTTTATTATTATTATTATTTTAAGTACACACAATTGCCAACAAGTATGTGCTACACAATACTGCACTAAGATGCTGCAAAAATATTTAAATATCTGAAGGGTTTTATTCTGAAATGTGGACTCTCCAGGAGTTTCCTGTCACTGACCCTAAGCATCTTTAACCCGGAAATAAAAGGAAATAAATAAAAATAATATTTATAAGTAGATATATGAGGAACTGTCCAAAACATCCTCTAACTTTTAAAAAGTAGCATCACTTTATTAATGTTTACTGATTTTTAACATCCTGCAGGATTTTTTTTTTTAATGTTTAGCTCATAAACTATAAATAAAAAGTTAAAGCGACTGTTGAGAAACATTTGGTCCTGAATACTCACGAGAAGCGTCTCCTCGGAACTTTCCTTTGAAACGAATCCTCTCCTTTTTCTTTATTTTGTTTTGTTAAAATGTCTCTTTAGTTTTTTTTGTTAAAATAAAGTGAACTCCCACACACGAAGCCACATGTTTTCCCAGAAGACAGAACTCCACTGTGGAGCTGGTCCGACCTGTAGGTACACTTCTCTCTCTGGTGCGTCTGTTTGCGCGAGCTCGCTCTCCCCTCACCTGCCATGTGATGCGCGCGATGCCTTCAGGGACCCCTCGGAACAAACGCGCTCAACCGTTTAACCCCCCCTTTTTTTTTAAATGGTGAGAAATAAACACAAATTTTAATAAATAATTATATTACTACGAATAAGAAATAGTTTCCATTTGTTTTAGTTGTTTTATTTTTTTAGATCTAATAACCCAATATTGCAGATTAGCTAATAAAAACTGGATCATCAGCTAAACAAGTCATGTTGATGTTTTGATGTATTGTTGTTTTTTTTTGTATGGGTTTAATCAAGCCCTAAACAGAAGTGGGTCAGGAACATTTCTGTTGAAACTCCACAACCTCTCAAAGCTGATGTACAAGTGAAGAAATTACTTTTAAACTTGTGTGATACCACATAAAATAATGAAAACTACAAGTTGTACTTCCTTTTATTGTGTTAAACTGACACTGCCATCTAGTGGTAGAAAGAAATAGTTGCAACCGTTTATTGCAGTTCCATGCACCCATTTTCATTTACTTTTTTATTTTAAGTAGAAAACAATTCATATTTGAATGCATTCTGTAATTGCTTGTGTTTACCAGTTTTAATG